GGGGGGGGGAGGATCAAGGCCAAAACTAAACTGGACTGAGGCCCTGGGAGGATACTTCCATGCACACAGTCTCAGTGCCTCAAACGCAAAACTCCCAGCCCACAGCAATCCCTAGAGGACAGGGTAGAACTGCGCCCATGGGTTTCCACGGATGTCACTCTTTATGGGAGTAGAAAACCTCATCTTTCTTCCATGGAGCCTCTGGTGGTTTATTTTTATTTCAAGATCATTTTATTGGGGGCTCTTACAGCTCTTCTGGCAATCCATACATCAATTGTATCAAGCATCTTTGTACATATGTTGCCATCATTATTTTCGAAACATTTGCTTTCTATTGAGCCCTTGGTATCAGCTCCTCCTCCCTACCCCCATGACTCCTTGATAAATTATAAATTATTATTCTTTTCATATCTTACACCTACCGCTGTGTCCTTTCCCCCATGGTTTCTGCTGTTCGCCACCCCCCTGGGGTGGTTGTGGAGGGTGTGGTTATGTGTCCATCACTAGGATCAGTTCCCTCTTCCTCCCCACCTCTCCCTACCTTCCCCCTACCCTCCTGGTAATATTGCTCCCATTCCTGTTCCTGGATTCCGCGTGTCATGAGCTCTTATCTCTTATCTGCCAGCTTCTGCACTGGCATCATCTCACATTGACTTTGCAACAGCCCTCTGTGCTGGGCACTAGCAGTACCCAGCTTTACAGATGAGGAAGCTGGGACCCAGAGAGGCACGGTATTGGGCTCAAGGCCCGCATCTGATTCTATGGGCTAGAGGTGGTAAGGTGGGGGTGTGCAGAGGGCACATTCAAGGCAAGCCTGGGCTCCGCCTGGTCTGGGCTGATCCAGGCGCTACGGGGTGGGCAGGCAGGTGGGTAGCTGGAGTGTTGGAGTGAAGACTCCCCGCCCCACGTCCACTGCAGGCTGAAGATAGAGGAGATGACCCTGCCCAAGGTGTTGCTGAAGCTGCTGCCGGGCTTTGGGGTGCAGGTGGACCTCCACACCAAGGTGGGCCTGCATGGCTCTGGGTGAGTGGCCTGGAAGGCCTCCCTCCCCCTCTCCACTCATTTTACTGTCCCACTCCCTCCTGCTCACTGTCCCCCCTCCGACTCCCACTCTCTCCACCAATTGCCCTTCAAAGGGCTTCCATCTTACACATTTGCAGAGGGGTCTGCAAATGGGGTGAGAAGGCAGGGTGTGGGTGGAAGGGTATGGGGCTCACACAGAAGCAGCTCGAAGTGGGCAGTGAAGGGGTGGGGGGAGGTGTGCAGCTGGGGCGGGTCTTGGCTGGGGGGGGGCGGGGAGGAGCACACCCTGGCCGCGCCCTCAGCACGCGCTCTCGCCAGCCCCCTGGGCGGCCTGCTGCAGCTGGCGGTGGAGGTGAACGTGTCGTCGCGGGTGGCACTGGGCGTGAGCTCGCGAGGCACCCCCATCCTCATCCTCAAGCGCTGCAGCACGCTCCTGGGCCACATCAGCCTGCTCTCGGGGTGAGTCCGCTGTTCCTGCGCCCCTGACTCGATTTCCTCTGGCGCCTGTACCCGGAGGTCCCCAGGTTCTGTCCCAGCGGCCGGCTGGGCGGGGTCTGAGCTCGTCTTCCCCGCCCACTGAGACCTCCCTCCCCCCAGCATCCTGTACCCACCTCTGGCCACCCCTGCCCACTCCCTGCCTTCACCTGGTGTCCCCCTATTACTGTCTACACTCCAGACTGAATCCTATATCCACTAGCCCCCAGGCTTTGCTGGGTCGCCTTGGCCAGTGAAGGGTCATCAGAAGCACCTTATTCAGGGGGTGGTCGGGATCCTTCAATTCTAGCAGCTCCATCCTCCTCCTCTGTGCTGGAGACCTTGGGAGAGCAGAGCCAGGTGGTAGTGGCGTCCTGCATTTGTGATCCTGTGGTTGCCACCCTACACCTGCCCCCCATGACCTTTAAATGGACTGGGTCCATCCACGTGTACTTCTATCCATCCATCCATCCATCCATCCATCCTCAGACCATCCATCCATCCATCCATCCTCAACAAATAGCACTTGAGCCTCCTCTCTGAGCCAGATGATATTCTAGGCCCACTTGTCTACAGATGTGGGGGGAGACAAGGAGAGGAGATGCTCACTGAACCTCCCTGTGCTCTCTGTCAGGTGGGCATGATACAGGCTCAGGGGACTGAAGCAAGTTGGGAAAATGACTCCTCAGGACCCAGGGGACCAGGTCCCAAAGCCCCAATCAACCCCACCCAGAGAGGACACAGGAAAAATCCAGGGGCCCCAGGATCCACCTTCCCTGTCCTCTGCCATCAGGTGGGTGCTTCCCCGAGCAGTGGTCACACCCTGATACCAACCCCCTCTGTCCAGGCTGCTGCCCGCTCCGCTCTTTGGAGTGGTGGAGCAGACACTCTTCAAGGTGCTGCCAGGATTGGTGAGTGTGGGACCTGCCCCTCCCCCTGGGTAGTCCCCCACCCCTCGCTAGTTTAATGTAAAGGTGGGCACCGGCTGGATTAGACTGCATTTCCCACCCATAGCCTTGGGTAATCCTCTCCTAGCCTCCGGGCTGCCAGCTCTTGTGGCTATCCTCCAAGTCCTGAATTTACAGCTCTAGAAGGCCAACGTTCTCTGATCCCAAATTCAAGTCTCTTTCTTACCTCTTGTGGATTGCTGGTGGCTCACGCACTCTACTGTTAACCACAAGGTCTGTGGTTCAAATCCACCAGCTGCTCCATTTCTGCTAAAGATATAGCAGCCGCCCTTTGTCAAGCCTTACAGCCTAGTAAGAGGGCAGTCACCCTCTAGCCTCTAGGGTCCTTCTGAGTTAGAATCTACCCAACGGCTAGGGGGTTGGCTCTATTTTTGCCACTTATATTATTATTGACTTGATTTTTTCCCCCTTTACGTTAGCTTTAGGTTATTTTCCTGTAAAGGGATTTGTTTGGTGTGGTGGTGGTTGGTTGGGCTGCTAGCCCGAAGGTCAGCAGTTCAAAAACTACCAACCCCCTCTCAGGAGAAAGACTATGCTTTCTCCTGCTGCAAACACTTATATTCCGGGACACCCACAGGGGCCACGCTGCCCTGTCCTATAGGATCGCTGTGAGTCGGCATTGACTTGGTGGGAGTGGGTTTGGTGCTTAGCAGTAGCATCCAGAAAGTAAAAAGATGTTCATATTAGCCAAAAACCAAACCCACTGTCAGAAGTTGACTGACTGCCCCATCTTTCTACCGCGGGGTGGCTGGTGGGTCCAAGTTTCGGTTAGAGGCTCAACTCTTCACACATGCGTGTCAAGGTATCAGAAACTAGACACGTGACGATGAACCTGTCCAAGGATGTTGTCCCTGGCCTTCTCAGCTTCTGCAGGGGAACCAGCCACACCTGAGGAAAGCCGGGGCTGGCCCAACCTTGCTTTCGCTGAGGCTGGACGGGGCAGGGACTTGTAGGATGTCACACAGCCACCTCTGCCTCCTGACGCCCAGGCCTTGCTCACCCTTGAGAGCCCTTGGGAAGAATGTCCAGGTGGGGCTGTCGGGGATGGGAAGAGGGTTGGCAGACTACCCAGGTGAAACTTGGAGGGAGCTGCATGGAAACTCCCAGCTGGGGACGTCTACTGGCAAGTTCTCAGGTGGATGTCAATGAAAGGGTGTGTGGGTACCTGTTTAAACCACAGCCCTGAAGTTGGGTCCCTGGGAAAATTGGCCCCGAAGGCAGTCTGATATGACCTTATTTTTAAAATCAGAGCCCCTTGCCAACATTTAGAGATTGGAGAGTTTTCTTAGCAATCCGGATTTCTGGCTTTTCTTATGCAATTAGCAAACCCAGCCACCCTGGAGCCTTCTACCCAGCTGGCGCCAAGAGGGGCTGCCCCCCCTCCAACCCCACCTTACCTCATTCACCCAGCACTGCCCCTTCTGGCCTCCCTCTGCCAATTCGGTGACACGCCTGACCCCTGAGGCCCTGGAGGTTGGGGCTTCAGGTTTAAATGCCAAAGCCTTCTCTTGCCTCTCTGTAAACCACTGTGTGACCTCGGGCAAGGTGCCCATCTTTGGGCCCTGGTGAAAAGAAAGGGTTGAACTCCAGTGGGCCGTGGGTCTCAGGGTTAGGGTTCTCACAGCTGGCCCACCTGCCTGTGGCTCTCACGATGCCGGCTTTTCAGGGAGCACGCGGTGGTATGGGGGGTGGACACCAGAGCCAGGCCTGATTCTCTCTGGGAGGAAAAGGGTTCTCTATCCGGTGGGGGGAGCCTTCATTCTAGGGGTCCCAAGGTCTCTGTGACCACTTGGGGTTGGCTGAAGGGGCCTGAAATCTCAAAGGGAACCACAGCCTCCTTTGAGGGCGTTACCCTCTCCCCAACTGGCCCCAGAAGTGTGTCAGCCCCCAGCAGCCTTTGGGGTTTCCTGATGGGGCCCGTGCAACAAAGGGAAGCAGGGTTTGGGGGCTTGGGGAAGGGTCTTCTGCACCTTCTTACTCTGTCTTCTGAGACTTTAAGCCACAACCAAGGCACCAGCCCCTCCTCACCCCTTTTGTCCCCAACTCGCATCCACATTCCATCTTGCCTTGGTCCCGGGGTCACGCAGCACATCACATAAGGGAGGCACCGCTGCCTGCTCTCTGTGCCCCGCTGGGGTTCACGTGTTCTTCCTACCGTGTCCGTCTCTTCTCACGTAGCTCTGCCCCGTGGTGGACAGCGTGCTGGGTGTGGTGAATGAGCTCCTGGGCTCTGTGCTGAGTAAGTTGAGGTCCAGCCCCATCCTCTGTGCCCTCCTCTCGTCCATTGCCAAGGGGTGGGGGGCTGGGGGGGTTTCAGGAGAAGTGCGATGGGGCCGATTCTGGAACTTTCACTTCCTCCTCACACTGCCCATTTTGAGAAGGCTCAATGGCGGAGCCTTGGCCGCAGGCCACGGTGTTCAGCAGGGCCTCGGGGACTCAAGAGCCTTTCGGCTCTCTGTCTTCTTGCGGGGCGAGGTTTCAGGTGAGTATCTGGCCTGGTCAGAAACACAAGGCCAGTGTAATTACGAGTGAGCTCCCTGGGCAGGCAGGATGACGGTCTCCCCGAGCCATGTGGAGACACAGATGAGGTCTGTGGTCACACAGGGCTCAAACAAGTTCAAGGAGGGCTGGCTGGGGTGGGGCTAGGCATCTTGATGCAAGCATCTCTCTCTGTAGCGGTACAGGAGAGAGGCAGGGCAGCAGTGTGGCTAGTGGCACGAGCTCTGAAGGACAGGCCTGGCTTTGAATGCCGGCCTTGTTCCTCCGTGGCTTGCGTGGCCTTGGCTGGCGGCTTCCTTTAGGCCTCAGTTTCCTTCTCGGCAAAATGGGATGATAGTGGCACTCAAGTGAATATTAAGTAGACGCTAAAATTGAGTCTGTTGTTATTGGAGCTTATGGAGTCCCTCCCCCCCCCACCCCGCCTCCCTCCCCCCCCTGCAGGCCTGGTGCCCCTTGGGGCTCTTGGGTCCATGGAATTCTCTCTGGCGACACTGCCTCTCATCTCCAACCAGTACATAGAACTGGACATCAACGTGAGTGTCTGTGGAGGCCTTGGCGGAAGCTGGGTGTGGGGGCCGTGCTGGGGATGCCGGGGGTCACGGCTGGGTGAGCAGCAGTCCCATGACCGACTCACGTCCCGTCTCCTGCACCCGCAGCCCATCGTCAAGGGTGTGGCCGGTGATATCATCGACTTTCCCAAGCCCCCCAAGCCTGTCAAGGTGCCTCCCAAGGAGGACCACACCTCCCAGGTGACCGTGCCCCTGTACCTCTTCAACACCGTGTTTGGACTCCTGCAGACCAACGGCGCTCTGGACATCGACATCACCCCGGAGCTGGTGAGGGTGGCAGCCAGGGATGCTGGGAGGAGTGGGGGAGCTCCCTGCCTTGCTGTGCTGGTGCCACGCCAGCGCTGCCCTGCTCAGCTTTGTGTGGTCCTTCCCTCCAGACGAGTTTCTAGCGGGGGTGGGGTGGGGGAGTGGGGGGGTGGGCAGGGTGCCGGTGGCACTGAACCCTGACCTCCTGCGCTCCCAGCGGAGCAGGGGTTGGTCCCTCCCTGGACATGGGGGCCAGAGAGCACTTGGAGGGCCTCTGGGATTTGGGGACAGGGCCCCGAGTAAAGGCGGTGTCTTCAGGGTCAGCTAATAGCTGCCTGTGTCAGGGTATGAATGGACGTGAGTGTGTACTGTGATGGGAGAGGGCTCTCCAAGCTCCACCCACCCACATGGGGTGACATGGAGTGCTAGGAGAGAGTGTGGCTGTGGGTTTATTCCGTGAGAGCAGGTCTGTCTGAGAAGAGGATGTACGTAGTTCTGAGGCTCTGGAGGCCGGCAGACTGGGGTAGCTGGGGAGCCCCATCTCTTGGGTGACTGCTACCCAGTGCTTTTAGGGGCGGAAGGACAGAGCCAGCGAGGCCACCTTTTCCATTTTTTATGTCAGAAATGGGCACGTGTACATGCCACTTCCAGATGGAAAACGTTTCGAAGTAAAACAGTAGTTTTTCAAACTACGGAGCCAAAGGCGAGATAGGGCTGGGATTGGATTGGGCTCGGGGGCCTTCAGGCTGGCAGCTCTGACAGACTGGTTTCAAGGTGAGCTGCTCTCTGACCCTGGGCAGACGCCTCAGTTTCTCCACTCATCACACGGGGTCGCCAGAGCACCCGCGTCTCTGACCTGCGGTCAAACTGACGCGATGAAGCCTTGATAAGCCCCGGGGGTGTGCCGGGCACATAGGAAGCACTCTGTGAGGGTGACTGAGAAACGATCCTGGCTGTGTGTCGTGGATGTTGGGTGGGCTCAGAGGGAGTCCTGACTGTGTGTCCTTGGTGTTGTGTGGGGACAGAGGGATTCCTGGCCTGCTGTGCTCACGCTTCCTCCCATGTTGTCTTGGGTCCAGGTTCCCAGGAACGTCCCCCTGACAACCACAGACCTGGCGGCTTTGCTTCCTGAGGTGAGCGACTCTCTCATGTTTGGAGGCGTGGGCCTGGATCACCGTGTAGCTAATGAGCCTGAGTGCTACTCGGAATCTCTCAGGCAGTCGGCCTGCGTTTGACCGTTTGGTCCAAATGCATACTAAAGTGTGAATGACTAACGGTGCTTTACTGTTCCCTGATAGCAGATTTCCCTTGGAGAGGAAAGACCAGGGTTTGGCTGTCCCCGAAGCCAACTGGGCATTCATCCTGTGGCTGCTCCTTCTGTCAGGCAGAGGGCAGGGTAGGAAGGTTCTTTGCAGATGACCGAGTTCTCTCCCTCAACTGCCTTCTTCATCTCGGCCCTGCTCTTGTCTGTTCTCAGGAAGAAGACTCAGGCCTCTAGTCTTAGGGAGGGAAGAGAAGGCGAAGAACAAGGGAGATTTGGCTGGTGGGCACCGGTACCCGACAGCCTCTGCTTTCCTATCTGTTCAGCTGGAGCTGGACTAGCCACTTCTTAGTTATGAGACTGAATTCATACTGAAGCTTAAATGACTACACAAGGTCTTTATGAGATAGCTGGTTCTAATACAGTTGGAAATTGGCTCAGAAAGCCCGAGTTTCCAGCAGGAGGGGTGAGGGGGTGAGAGAGAGAGAGAGACAGGGCAGGACCACACGGGTGCAGCAGCTCAGGGAACCCTCTCCAGCTTGGGGAGGCTGGACTCACCCCTGGACGCTTGAGTCTTTTGTGACTTGCTGGCTTTCGAGCCCCAGAACCTCAACGCCCCCTCTCTGCCTCTGGTTCTGTGGCTCCCAAGTCTACAGACACACCAGGTAGAATCCAGTGATGACCCTGTAACGCCAAGAGCCCAGGTCTGGCCCCCAAAGCCCACCAGCCCAGGGTCCAGAGGGCAGCGACGCTGTGTCTCAGACTTTCCTAATCTTAGAACTCCTTCTGTTAACCAGTTACTACTGATTGAGCATCTGCTACTATGGAGCGAGGCTTGTGCCAGGTGCTGAGGATGCCGAAGAGGCAAAGGGTGAAAATGAGACAAAGTGCCTGTGCTGAGAGAGGCGACAGGCACCAAACCAAAAACAGTATCAAGAGTGATGGGTAGCAGAGAAGGAAGGAGTAATGGATTAGGGATGCGGAGGTGGTTTGAGGGCCACCTGAGGCCCTCACCTGAAGAGGTGAACAGGGCAAGGCTTATCTTATCTGGGAGCAGAACAGCAAGGGCAAAGGCCCCGAGATGGGGGCTACCAAGCAGGTTGTTGGAACCGTGACCTTGGGGGCCAGAGAGTCCAGAGAGGGGCAGTGGAGGGAGGTGAGGTGGAGAGGAGGTCCCGGTGGGGGTAGACGCTGAGTGAGACAGGGAGGCTGAGATACATGCTGCCTCGGATTGCAGTGTCCCCACCGGAACGCCATCCCCCCGTTCTGGCTGGCACATCAGTCCGTGCTCAGACAGGGCTTGGTGCTCAGTGCTGACTGCCCCATAGTTTCCGTGACCTGGACCTCCCAGCTGCCCTCAGGCCCCTGCTCTGCCGGTCTCTGCAGGCGCTGGGCATGTTGCCTGCCGGCCAGCACCTCCTGCTCTCCCTGCGGGTGAAGGAAGCGCCCTCGGTCTCACTCCAGAACAAGAAGGCCACCATCTCCATCCCCGCTGCCCTCCACGTGCAGTCCTATGTCCCCACAGGGACTCCGGAAGCCCTCTTCGAGCTGAAAGTGGTCAGTGGATAAGGAGCAGGGGCCTGGGGACCGGGGGTCACTCCCTCCACGAATCATCCTCACGCCCGCCCAGACACAGAACTTGCTCCCCTCCTCCCCAGCCCCTCGGCCTCAGCTATCTCCCAGACAGCCCTCCAGCTCCACTGGCTCTCCCAAACACATACCCAGGCAGAGGGGGAGGCGGAGGCGGGTCCCTCTCCTGCCCTCCCTCTGCCTTGCTTCCCCATTGCCAGGTCTTCCTGCCTCCTGCTCAGTCATCCCAGCCTGCACCCTCAGCCTCAGCTACTTGAGGGCACCCTAAGGAGCCCCAGTGGCTTAGCGGCTGCTCGTTGGGCCGCTAACCTCATGATCAGATGTTGCAAAGTACCAGCCACTCCTTGAGAGAAAGACGAGGCTTTCTGTTCCCGCAGAGTGACAGGCTCAGAAAGCCACAGGGACAATTCTACCCTGGACTATGCGGTTTTGCTATGAGTCAGCATTGCCTTGATGGCAGGGACCTTGAGGTTGCCCCCTCCCACTGCTCAGACTCTGCCTTTGGCGTGCGGTTCCCCACTCCCCTTGGCTGACTCCTCCTCTTCCCAGGGGAGGCTTTCCCCATCCCGGTGCAGCCCCTCTGCAGGCCAGGCCAAGAGAGAGTCCCCTCCCAGCTCCAGGGGCCCCGTTTTCCTCTCCTTCCTCCCCATTGTCCTCCCTGTCAGTGCTCATGTTTCTTGATCACTAGACCTTTTAAATTGCACCCCGCCCCCACCCATGCCCAGTGTGGAGCTTAACACCCAGCAGGGACCCAGGAAGGGGGAGGGAGGGGACTGCGGAAAACTCACAGTTGGCCAGCTCTTGGTGAGGCAGACCTGCCTGTGTGGCTCATTCTGCTGAGTTGGAGGGTAACCTCGGGCCCCTCTGCCCCATGCAGGTCATGACTCTGAGTGCCCAGCTGGCTCCCTCAGCTACCAAGCTGCACCTCTCCCTGTCCCTGGAACGGTAACGTGCCTCCTGGGCCTCATCTTTAGGAACGAGATTCAAGGACCGGCAGGACCCAGCGATAGCTCCTGTTTAATGAACATCACTCGGGGTCCACATGTTTGACCAGCTTCATCCTGGCCTTCAGGACCTGCCGGGGAGGAGACTCTGCTAGCCCATTTTACAGATGAGGCAGTTGAGGCTCAGGGAGGCAGATTCCAGAGCTGGCCTTCTTCCACCAGACCCCATTGCTGCTTAAACCTGGGAGGGAACCCAGGCAGGCACTAAGAGTCACAGCTCCTGAATTCTCAGCCCCAGACACCTACCACAGAGCCAGCATATTCGACAGTGCTCGCTCTTGCCATCGCCATGGAAAAGAGGTGTCAGCGGTAGTGACAGAGGTGACGAGGCTGTGAGCGATCCTTCCCTCCCCATGCAGGCATTTTACACTTGGCTGCGCTACTCTCAGCAGTTCTGGGCGCCCCTGCTGGGTTGTCTGTGGAACCAGGCCATAGTCTGGGTCCCCACGTTACAGGACCAGTGCTCTCTCTCACTATGGCTTGGGACCCGGGTCGTCTGTCCCTGCCTGGATGCAAGGGTCTTCCCAGGGGGCCCTGGGATCTGTGTGTCACTTCTTCCCACTTGGGTCTGTTGCTGCCCGATCTCTGCCCTGGACGGAGGGGCTCACCCACTACCTGGGGGGATCTCTCACTTCCGGTGGATAGCTCCTGCCTCAGCTCCGCAGGCGGCAGAGAGCCATGTCCAGCAGTGGTCCAGCCCTGGACTTGCAGTTGGGCCAGCCAGGGGGCATCAGTCAGCTGTCGCCTTTAGTGAGTGCCTGCTGTCTGCAAGGCGCCCAGGGCTCCTGGCTCAGACTGGGGCAGGATGACTGCTCAGAGACAGGGTCAGCCACTTGCCTAGGGTCAGAACAGCCGGGAGCAGGCTGGGGAGTGACGGGATAGTCAAGGTGTGTCAGAAGGGAGGGTAGAGCCCTCTAGATCCATAGTACAGGCAGGAAAACTAAGGGAGACCGAGCAGATCGGCTAGTCTCTGAGTCGGGTCTGTTCCTGATCCATGTGAGTTCAAGTTCGGGCAGGTTGGAGGTAGAGTGGTGGGGAAGCAGGGTGGCTCTCAGCAGGTGGTGGTGGGAACCAGGTCTTGCAACCTCTGTCTTGTCCCCACCAGGCTCAGTGCCAAGCTGGCATCCTCCTATTCCCGGACCTTTGATGTAAGTTCCTGGGCGGGGGGAGCAGCTTGGTGGGGGTGGGGGTCTTCACGCGGGGGCTGGAAGAGGGCTGGGATGAATTAGGGTCCAAATGCTTGAGTTGGCATCACGGTGGCTCTGCCTGAATAAGCTACAGCAGGTAAGGGTCAGGGCAGCATGTGTTGGTCGAGGAAAGGGACGCGCATGATCTTTCCAGAAGGTCTTGGAACCTCACCAAGGTGTAAACATCCGGAACCTCACAGGGGTCCCAAATCCTGACACTCGGCACAAGTGGAAGCTTCCCAAATTCTGAAAGTTCTAACGTTTCAGAGCCTGTTCCTCTCAGAGTTCTGAGGTTCTGGAATCTCACGATGGTCCTGGGTTCTAGACATTCTAAGGGTCCCTCCATGGACAGAGTTCTAAGGTCTGACGTCATAGAGTTCTCCTTGAGCTGGGCACGTCTTCACCCCCCTTTTCAGGCACTGTCCCCCTCTCTGCCCTGGAGATCCTTCCTCTAGGGAGGAGCCTTTTCCAAGGGCCTGTAGCTGAGGCCGATGGCAGCCTAAGGCAGAGCCATCTTTGGGGTGATGGGGTGAACTGCCCACCCCTGTGTCTGCAGGTTTGGGGGAGGCGGGGGCAACTGGACCTCTGATTCCCCGCCCCGCCCCCCTTGGGAGGAAGGGGTGAGCCGTTTTCTGAGAAATCCTCCATGTTTTTTGCTGCAGGTGTCCCGTTTGGAAGAATGGCTGAGCGATGTGGTCCGGGCGGCCTATGTGCCGAAGCTCAACGGTAAGCGTGACCGAGTCAAGGGTCCGAATTGGGGATCATCTGATTTTTCCCCTTCATGTTGGTGGCGTGGTGGTTAAGGGTTGGGCTGCTAACCGCAGGTCAGCAGTTAGAAACCATCAGCGGCTCCTTGGGAGAAAGACGAGGCTTTCTACCCCATAGAGTTACAGTCTCAGAAACCCCAGGGGCAGTCCTACCCTGCCCTTTAGAGTCGCCCCGAGTCAGAATTGACTTGAAGGAAGTGAGTTTGCTTTGGTTCTTTATTATTCTGATAGCGACACTGAGGTTTAGAGACAAGTTGACCTCTACTACCCCCCCCCCATTACTAAGGTGTGTAAACAAACACAGGTGACCATGTGTTAACCCAAAAAGCATTATTTAATATCTATCTCATGCTAGCTCTGGATTTTGAGATTGCTTGTACCTAGGCCCTGTTCTCAAACTCACAACCCAGTGGGAAGTGGTTATACAATGATTAGACCAGGGGTTCTCAATCTTCCTCATGCCGTGACCTTTCATACAGTTCCTCATGTGGTGGTGACCTCCCCCAACCATAACATTATTTCTGTTGCTACTTCATAACTGTCATTTTGCTACTGTTAGGAATCAGGTGACCCCTGTGAAAGGGTCATTCGACCCCCAAAGGGGTCGCAACATACAGTTTGAGAACCACTGGGTTAGCCTGTAGATGAGTCAGGACGTACAAGGTGCTGAGGGAGGCTGAAGCAGACTTGGCTGAGGAGAGTCATTGATGGTATTACAAACAAGGGGAATTTTTGTTTGGGTTTAGAGGTATGGATAGGTGTTTTCCACAGGGAGTTAAGTCTCCAAGGAGAGAAATAACTAACCTAAGGAAGTGGTAGAAACAGAGCACTAAGTCCTACCTTTATCCCCACCCTAAATTTGTTTGCTTTCAACCATTCCGTTCTACAGTCGCTTTGGATGTTGGAATCCCTCTTCCTAAGGTTCTCAATGTCAATTTTGCCAATGCGGTCCTAGAGGTAATAGAGGTGAGTTGGATATGACAAAATACCCATTTATAAACTATCAAGGGCTCATGCGGGAGGGGGGAGCGGGGAGGGAGGGGAAAAATGAGGACCTAATGTCGGGGGTTTAAATGGAGAGAAAATGTTTTGAGAAACGATGTACAAATGCGCTTTACACAATTGATGTGTGTATGGAGTGGGATAACAGTTGTATGAGCCCCTAATAAAATGTTAAAAAAGAAAAAAAAAATAGAGGTGAGTTGCCCAGGCAGATATGGTCCAAATGGATCTTTTATCTACAAAGGGTCCTACTTGAAATTCAAGAGGAAATTCATACCCCTTCCTCTGGACTGCAGCAGTTTAAAAATTGCTCAAAGAATTATGAAGTACTTAATTTGGGGGTGGCAAAAAATGGTATGAGCGCTTTCACACCTTCCTTGCCCGTGGCAGACTTTGCCAGTCAATCACAGAGTCCTTCCCTCTTGAATTGAGATGCATGCTCTGGTTTACAAGGATGGAAACCTCAAATTCCCACAAGATCACAATAACCGTGGTCCACAGGTGCCATACATAGACTATCCACCCTGTACCTGTGGCAGACATTGCTAACCAATCATGCTACTTTTTCTTGCTCGATATAAACATGACCTCATACTCTGTCAACCCAGTGCAACTTTGAGCTTGGCGTGGCCTTGGGAGGCAGGCAAACTAAGGAGTTCTTAACCCGTTTCTCAGATGAAGACTAAGCGTGAGGGAGGCTGAATTTCAGGGCTAAGGACACATAGTAAATTCATGTCAGAAATCGACCTTGAAGTTGGATCTCTCTAAGTCTTAAATTGAGCAACCTGAGCTGCAGTGGGTGCTGTTTATTCCTGTGTCGATCCACCCCTTAAACAATTGATGGATGCCATCTTGGTTCCACATGCAGTGCTAACCTCAGGCTGCGGGTGGGGGTGACGGGCCAGATGACAGGGGATGTGGTGTGGCAGAGGTGTTGGGCACAAGGACTCAGAGGGTCTAACAGAAAACTCTTGCTCTTTGCAGAATGCTGTTGTGTTGACCGTGACATCCTGAGTCTGAGAGGTGGCCGCCATTCCTCCCTTGCACCATCTAGAATTCTGCCTCTGCCATTTCCCGTCTAGTCTGTATCGATAACAGCAGCAGTTCCTTCTCCACCAGGTCCACCCAGGCCCTCTGGCTCTGCGACTCTATCCCAGATGGGGTGGGGAGCAGGCCTAGCCCCAGGGCCCCGTCTCTCACAGGGCCCTGGGACCTCAGTGGCAAGTCTTGAGTTTTCAATAAACGACTCCCCTCTCTCAGTACCTCCTGGCTGGTTTCTTTCCCAGTCCCAGAGGGGCTGCCTGGCTCTCTTTGTTCATGGTCTACCCTGCCTCAGGCAGGAGCCCCTGGGAGTGAGGGACCTGGGTCTCATCCTTGTGGCCTTGAGCTTGCGCTTCCCTGCTTGCCCTGAGCATCCTCTGTGTCTTGCCCTGCCCTCACTCACTTCTCCCTCTTTGTCTCCCTTCTCCATCTGTCTTTGTTTCCCTGCGTCTATGTCCTTCTATGCCTGTCTTTGAGCAGCTTCTCAGAAGGGGTGTCTGAGCGGAATTTTAAAGGGCGAATAAGCGTTTGCCAGCGAGAAAATGTCCTGGCGTCCCCAGATGCAAGATGAATGAAGCCGGTGGGCTGCTCTGGAAGGATCTCCACTGGCTGTCTATCAGGGAGGACACACCTCAGGACAGAGCTCAGAGCAAAACTGCACCAAATGCTCTTCGTGCAGATGGGAAACTCGAGCCAGAGACGGGGCCTGGCTGCCCCAAGGTCACACAGCCGCAGGATGGGCATTGGAATCTGAGGATCCTACCTCATGGCTCTGGGCACCTCCCTGCTCCCCAGGATGGGTCTCTTTGGTTCTGGGGAATGACCCCAAGTTGGCACTTCTGCGTAGCCCTGCATCCGAGAGGGGTCCCTGAGGCTGGGGGACAGGCTGCCTGGCCTTTCTTACAAGGCACTCTGGGTGGACGAGAATGTGCAGCCTGGCTGACAATAGCCAAAAGCTGCCTAAGTGTTTGTGCCCTCCAGGGACTCTGCCCTCGTACAGTGGAGCGAATGGAAACACAGAGACTAAGGGGCTTCCTGGCTGAGACCACCAGCTAGGAAGCCAGGATTTGAACCCAGGCCTGTCTGACTCCAGATCCCTGGCTCCTGACTCTACACTTAGGGTCCGGGAGAAAAAGGGGCTGTGAAGGGGTGTGTGTGGGGGTACTCCTCTGGTAGCCCCCTGCTGACTTTGCCAGGCTGGCAGTCCAAGAGGGAGACAAGGCTGAGTGGAAGGGTGAGTGGTGGGGCTAGGATTCTTTCCTGATCTCTGTAGTGCCCCCCACCCCACCTTGTGGTCCCCTGTGTGGGTGACTCACTTTTGGACTCCTCTGAGGGAATCGGATGTCCCTCCCCTCCCTTCACCCCCCTGGCCAGCTCCAGACAAAGGTGCTTTTTGGACGCTAAGCTCAGGTGATCGCCTTGGCGCCAGGTTCCAGTAATCCTCCGGCCAGCTAGGAGGCCACAGGGCAGGTGGCAGTGGCTTTGGTTTTTTGTTTGCTTTTCGAGTGGCGTCATGGCCACAAGGACCGTGCTGGCCCCAGGTCTGATGACCAGGATAAAGCTTGGGCAATGCAATCACCTGCCAGCGTATGCACTGCCCCCTACAGTCTACAGCAGGCCACAGCCCACACTGGGGGTGGGGGGTGGGGGGAGTGGGGCAGGACAAGGCCTGGACTCGGCTTCTTGCATTTTGTTTCAATGGAAAGGTAATAATATACGTAGGGATTTAAAGAGTTACCATCCTGTAAAGAGTTACCATCTCGGAAACCCACAGGGGAGCGTCTACCCTGTCCTACAGGGATGCTATGAGTTGGCATGGACTTGGTGGCAGTGGGTTTGGTTCTTTGTTTTCTGTTTTTGTTTTGTTGTTAATGAAATACTTTTATTGTTTTTTTAGCACTTAATAAATGCTGGCTTAGGGGAGCACAAAAGTGTTCACACAAAAGCTGACTGGACCCAGGTAACCATCATCATTTTGAGATGTTGTTTCTAGTCTCCCACGAGGGGAATCAGAGGCCCTGGGGAAGATGCACAAGGTCAAGTTCACATTCAGAGGGGTCAGAATCTACTCCCATACAGAAATGGCCTTCTGAAGGTGGGGAGCGGCAGTGAAGAAAGGGGCCCCAGGTACATTTCTGCTATTTCCCATATATTCCTTGCAACTTGGCTGGGGAAACCCCATAATACCTACTTTGCGGTTTTTCAAACTGAAGCCCAGGAAGGAGAAATGATGGTTTCTGGGTTGAGAGATCCGAAGGAGCATAAGAACTCAAGCGTGTACAATTGTCCAATCCACCCAGGAGTCCTTCCAGCACCCGCCAATACCCCCCAGGAGATGCAGAAGATGCCAGGGTGGGGGCTGATGTGGTTTCCTCCTGTTGCCCCTGTCTTTGCCCTCTCGTTGTCATGTGAAGGGTAAAACACCCCTCTCCTGAAACCCACTGTGGGCCAGACCCTGTTCTCAGAGCTCGCTGTGATGCAGTCACCGATCCTTCAGCATCTTTTGAGGCTGGGATGTTTCCAATCGGCATCTTCCGTCCAAGGACACAGAGGCTCCGGGGAAACTGGAGGCAGAATTCAAACTCAGCAACAACCTGCATTGTTGAGTTCCCCATTATACACGGAAACTGAGCCCCAGAGAGGAGCTGACCTGGGGACATAGACAGAGAACTCAGGGGTGGCATCTGCTGAGCTTGGCGGGGCTTGGAGCTGGCCACGCTGCTTTCAGAGCCCCGGTGGGAGAAGAAGGAAGCACTTTCATGTGTGGTTCAGGCAGCACACACTTCCTCCTGGCCCTGTGTGACAAATGTCCCTACCTCTTAGGAGTTTGCAGGGAGGCAAGTTGGAATCATAGAGGAGGTGGTGGTAACTAAACATCGAGAGAGGAGCTGGGGAGATGAGCAAAGAGGCCCCAGAGAACTCCCAGTCCAGTGGAGGGTGAAAAAATGCCATTCATTCATTCATTCATTCCGCCACTATACTGGTGTGTGTGCCTTGGCTGGGCTGGAAGTGGGCCACAAACTTGGCTCATCTGGAGCCATGGCATCTCTTTCTGGGGTTAAAAGAAGGCCCTGGGTGGTCCCGAGGCAGGGTAGGGGCTTGGCGTATCCAAGGAAAGCTTTCTGGGAGAGTAGACATTTCGGCACCACGTTGACAGCCCGAGCTGGGAGGAAGAGGCGGTAAGAGCTGCGTGAACAAAGGCCCAAAGGCAGGAAGGCCAGGAGGTGACAAGAAAGGGGTGGAAAGAAGCACTGAGTGAATGTGGAAGGCAGATCACCTTGAACGTCCCAAGAAGCAGTCCAGGCTGTACCTAGGGACAGAGGCAGCCCAGCAGGTCTGGCACAGGCAGTACCCGTGTCTGGAGGATGGGACCAGAGACCAGAGACTGGCTGGGAAGAGACAGGAGCGGGCTTTCCGGAAGGATGGAAATGCTCTCTATTGTGCTGGGCTACACGGTTACACAGAATGGTCGGAGTTCTGCAAACGAACTCTTCTCTTTGTGCCTGGCATTATATATAAATCTTATGTCTGAATAAACAAACGCTCTAGGTGATGGTGTGGGTGTTGAAGTGTTTAGGGGGGAGCATACTGCTGTCTGCAATGTACTAAAACAATAAAAACAAACACGTGGCTTAATGAATGGACGAACCAGGAGCCCTCATAGTGCTGTAGGGTAGGCGTTGCACTGCTAACTGTAAGGCCTGTGGTTTGAACCCACCAACTACTCCTTGGGAGAAAGATGAGGCTGTCTGCTCCCACAAAGATTGAGAGTCTCAGAAACCCTATACGGGGTCATTGTGAGTCAGAATTGCTCGATGGCAGCGGACATGGATGAATGGGCCCATATGTCAAAAGCAGGTATCGCGAGGTGATAACACTAGATAGAGCTAGCGGGTACAAGGTGCCAGGAGTTCACTGCTCAAGCCTTGGAACTTCATGGGTGAAAACGCCACAAGGTGACTTTGTGAGGGGGGACCTTCTGCAGGTCGCAGAGGCTCCTCTGAAAGATTTATACACACTCCGGCCTTGAGTCAGAACCACACTCACTCACCCCCCTTAATCCTCTCACCAGCCCTGGGAGACGGGTATTATATCCCTGAAACTGATAGCTATCCTGCTGGCTTCGGAGACCGGAAGTGGTCGACCCAAAATCCCACAGCGAGTTAGGGATGGAGTGGGTTTTGATCCTGGGCACATGTGGTCTGCCCAGATCATCTGGAATGGGCAGTGCCGTTGTGGAACTGGAAACCTGATGCATTTGGGGGTGTTTCTGTGTCCCCAATCTGGGGGGCCCTCACTAGAGTCTTCAGGCATGTGCCCGGTCCAGCGGCTGATAAAGCCCAGCTCATGTGACGCCACCCGGGACTGAACACAGTTCTTGGAATTAGCTACAAACCACAAACACTTGTGGTTTTGGGGCTCAATGTCTTGATTTGCACACAGCAAATCTGAATTCCGGTCTCCCGTAATTACACGGTGTTCCCTCTCTGGGTCCAGGCTCAGACTCAAGCTGCTATATAAGGCCAAAATGTGACCAGACTCAGCCCAAAGCAGAGGGCCCGGTGAAGGGAACCTCTCTGGTCTGAGCTGCGGGGACCTCCCAAGGGTAAGGAAGAGCTCCTCTCTCAGGTGGGCTGGCAGGGAGTCTGAGGCCCAGGGAGGGGTAGGGTGTAGGGTGGACCCCAGACTGGAAACCTGACAGTTGTCCTGCCTGTAACATGGTCATCGTGATTGAAAGGGCCCAAATCATACTGATTACATGCATGGGCAGATCTGCAGCCACCTTTCCCAGGATTGTCGGGTACCTAAGACCTTTGAGGTCTCCCTGAGACTCCTCTGCCACTTACGGATGATGTCAGACATCCCTCCACAGGTGCTCATCTTTTAACCCGCAGATGGAGTGTTCAGATGCGGAGGCCATGACAAACATGGCCATCCTTCCTATTCTAGTCTAATTGAGGGCCTGCAGAATGTCACAGTTTGCCCTGATGGGAGGCCGTGTCCTGTGCGAAGATTCAGAAGTGGGCGAATGGGTGGGCCAGGCTGGTGGTGGGGGAGAAGTGGATCGGGGCATGGGAGCCATGGAAGAGTTTCCTGGAGTATGACCACTTTGTCCCCAGCACCCACTTGACCCCCTCCGTCAATCTCCTTAAGTAAGACCCCTCTACAGTAGCAGCAGTGCTGCTTATTGAGGGTCTCCTAGGTCCGAACGGAGCCCTGCAGCTCGGTGGTAAGTATTTGGCTGCCAACTCCAAAGTCAGTGGGAAGAAGAGGTTGCCGTCTGCTTCTGAAAATAGTGACAGCCTTGGCAAGCCCATGAGGCAGTTCTGGTCTGTCCTAGAGGGTCATGCTGAGTCAGCATTCACTCAGTGATAGTTTTCCTTTCGGGGGGTGGGGGGTACTAGGTACTAGATATGATTTGCTAATGACTAAGCAGAGGTTCAGAACACAGGTAAGGTCTCCTGGCTAACGATCAGCACCCAGATAGCTTAGATCCAGAGCCCTTCATCTTAATCATATTTGGTACAACTGTCTCCTCTAAAGAGATGGAAAATGTATTTGCTTGTTTTTTAATCATTTTATTGGGAGGCTCTTACAGCTTTTATGACATTCCATACATCAATTGTATCAAGCATATTTGTCCATACAATGCCATCATAATTTTCTAAATATTTGCTTTCTAGTTGAGCCCTTGGTATCAGCTCCTCTCTTTTCCCTCCCTCCCTCCTCCCTGCATCATGATGCCTTGATAAATGATGGATTATGATTGTTTTCATATTGTATTTGTTTGTTGACTGGATAAATGGGAGGATGGCTAGAGAGATGGATGGAAGGACTGATAGAGGAATGGAGAGATGGATAAGTGAATGGAAGGGTGTGTGGGTGTATGGGC